ATACACGCGCAACAGTCCGCTGCGGCCGAGCTGAAGCAAGGCAGAGGAAGAACAGAAAGAGAGCAGGCAGCAGTTTCCAGCTAGCAGCATGCTGGGGGTAGTTTGATTGCACAGAACTTGCGATTTGAACATCATGTCAAGGGATTGCCGCCGAAGACGAATTCCTGATGATCTGCAGATTGTGTCTGCACGGTGGTGTGGGGGCAATTCTGCTTGCGTGGGTCAGTCAGGCCAGACACTTCGGAAGAAAGGCTGTTGCAGAACGTCTTGTTTTGCTGTTTGCATGTGCCTTAAGATCCCCTCACCAGGTTCGTGAGAACCCCGCCGGTCAGACGCCGTCGGATTTGGGAGGTGTTCGAGTCATACATGCGCAACAGGCAGTAGTTTACTTTCACAAGGGGTTCTGTTCGGAGATGATCCCGAGTCGGTCAGGCCAGACACTGCAGCAGAAAGGCTTGTGCAGAATGTTTGGCATTTGTCAGAGGTATCTGACTTTCGTAGTGGTCATGAGCATGACTTGTGCTATATTTCTAGTTGCAAGCATCTGAAGCATTGTAACTGTCATCTCCATCGTCGTCAGCTCTGTTCAGTTATGTGTTAGGTGTGTTATTTTTCGTGCTTGCGATTGTTGTTGTGTATTATTATTGTTATTGCTTTTCTTCTTCTTCTTCTTATATGTAAGATTGTTATTATTATTGCTATTATTCTTAAGGCATTGTTAGTGCTATTGTTATTGGTATGATTGTGATTGTTATTATTATTGTTATTATTATTGTTACTATCATTGTATATATCATTTCTGTTTCTTCTCGTCTTATTAATCTTATCACGATTCTTGTTGCGAGGTCTTGGGCTTGTAGCCATCAGTGTAATGGCCTTCAAAGTATCACTTGTATCACAATGGCCGTGCAGTGCTCGGATACTCTGGAGTGATGATGATGATGATGATGATGACGATGATGATGGTGGTAAGGATCAGGGCGAGGATGGTGAGCAACAGAATGAATTCCCCATCATGATTGCCCTTTCTTGTTTGTTATTCCTCCGTAAACCCAAAACCCTGAACCCTAAACCCGGTTCCTGCTGCACTCATCTGTTTTTTCGAGCTCGAGGTCGACGAAGCAGCTGCATCTGCTGGTGTACCTGACGGTCGGCTCCCAAGCCTTGGTGACACCCTGACGATGCTCCTGCTGTGTTGGTCACTTTAACAAGACCCATCAACATATCTATCAGGAAGAGATGCTGTTAGACGATATGTTACATGGTTATGATAGTGATGTCAGCAGGAGCAATAGCAAGATCGTACAGCACCAGACCAGGTCCAGTTTGCAGTCTATGGGCTGCTGGAGAGGGCATCTCCGCCGTTTCGAACTGAGCTGGCGGCACCTTGCAGAAACTGCCAGGATGGTTCAACTCCCACCTCCATGAAGCCTTGAAGTTAGATGAAATCTATAATAGTATCTTACAGCAGTCTACTATATTATAATATATTATGCATCCTGGGGAAGCTTCCGCGGTTCTCGAGGCTCGATTCGGCTACCACGAAGCTCCTGCTCTGTCCGACGCTGCTCGTGGATCCTCCGACGGGAGTTGCCAGAGACTCGGCGACCGCATCTGGAGCGTACAGGTGAGAGTTTACGTAGTATACAGTAGATAGTAATGAGTATACGACATGTACTGGTACCCATACTCACTGGCATCTGCACTCAGTTGCCATCTCTACAAGCTCAGGTGTACAGTTTCCTGCGCAAGATTTCCACGGCGCCATTCAAGATGCTCTCCTTTGTGGAAGATGGCCACACTCTCAGCACGCTGCAGCTGATCGTCTCCTGAATCCCGTAGATCCTCGAGCCGCAAGGCCCTCAGAAACCCCCTTTTTGCCTTTAAAAGCCTGAGAGAAGGACCACAACTTAGAAGAAGGGATGCTCTCTGCTTTGAGGCCCCGTGCCCACAAGTGGTGCCAAAGATGCGCCCCAGGCCGGAGCCGCTAAAAAAAATCCAATCGAAGCCAAGACCTCCCCCTGCTCTGCAGGGCAGCGCTGTGCGAAGCGCTTCTGCGCCCGTGCATGTGGACGAGGTTCTGGCTGGGTGGGAGAGAGATGTGTGTAGGATTCTTGTGTCACATAGCCACCTTCTTGGAAAGATCCATAAACTCCAAACGAATACGCCGCACTCCTTCTCATACCCAGATCCTTCTGCTCCCATAACGCGCCAAACTCTTCAGATGCTAGCCATCTATTAAGAGGGTGTCCCAAAAGCCGGAGCCCGCGCAAACGCTCATCCTTTGTGTACTGCGCAGGAAGGGTCGCCCGAAGCACCTACGCCGGTGCGGCTGAAGAGCGCGCCGTTGCGTGGAGAGGATCGACTGCGTCAGCTGAGGGGCTCTTCCAGGACTTCGAAGCAAGCGGATATATCACACCGAAGCAAAACGTCTAGGAGAGCGTCCAACGGGAACGGTCAGATACCCTTCCTCAAACGTGGTGACCCTCCACGGCACCGTGAACCTCCAACGATCTCGAACGGGAGTTGGGCTCAGTGCCCGTCGGGCCTTCCAGGGCTCAGGTCGCAACTGCCCGGTGCGCCCTTGGGTGCTTCAGCCTCCCTCGATATTACTCCACCTGTATACCCTCAGTTCGAATCAGACTAAACCCTAAACCCTAAACCCTAAACCAGGGACCTCTCTCTTCTTTCGGGGAGTCTTCTTTGTGTTGCTGCAGGCAGTCGTGGCAGAGGACGAGGTCTCGGACCACTCGCAGTCCGAGGCTCGCAGCGCACTGAAGCCCGAAACCTGCAACGAGCTCTAGTATAATACAGTATAATATAGTATAATAATATAGTAGAATATAGTACGATATAGTAGAATATAGTATAATATCGTATAATATTTAGCATAACGACACAGATGTCCAGAAAACGAGAAGCCCCACGGTGCGGCCTCGGGCCAATCTCCTAAGCTCTCCTGGCACGGCAGGGAGGCAGTGCCTCCCCCGCGGTACCGGAGCAGCTCGAAGAGGCAGCCGAAGGGTCTTCGGCCCGGGCTTTGCCGGGTAGTATAGGGGGTACCCTATTTAGGGGTCCTTATAATAAGGATCCTACTTTTAAGGGTACTATAGTGATATTCGGAGCCTTCCAAGCCTTCGGGTTTCGGGTGGCTTCACGGACTTCAAGCCTCAGTTGAAGGGTTGGGGAGCTTAGGTTTGGGTTTGGGAGGCTTCAGGTGTAGGAGAGATGTTGGATCGGAGGTACAAGGTTATGATTCCTGCAACCGAGTGACTTCTTGAACTCCACAACCTGTGGGTTGAGCATAAAAACGCAATTGTAGATTCTTGTGGTAGCTTTGTGGGCAGACAGTGGGAGTGACCAGGAGCGACAAAGAACAAGTAGGGAGAGTCACCTACGAGTCATGTAGCAATGTAGCACTGATCTGACTCATATAGCTGATTCGGCCGTTTCGGCTGCGGTTTTACAGACGATTCGTTTTTCATTTCGCGTCGTCCGCCAAACAGAAGAATCCGGATCCCCCCGTGCGAAGCACGATAGGCACTGGGCACCTAAGCCCCTAAACCCCACAATCCGAAGACCGATGACGGAGACAGTGGTCACGAGATCGTCGGAGCATTCGGAACTCCATCCTGTCCAAGCTGGATTGCAGAAGTTCTATACAGTTTGAATCAGGATGTCCGAATGCTTGACACCCTGCTGTTAATGGCTAGTGCATGAAAGCCACTATACAAATATATTCGAGGGTCTCTCCGGTTGACAATGTTCTGCATGTTGGGAGTCTAGTCTATTCATTTTGTCTGATGTCCATGTCTTTTTTGGGCTTCATTTAGCTTTTTGAGACTTTGGTATAATATATAAACAGACTTCTACGCATTACATACACGTTGTTCGTTTTCCGGGATCTAGTCTTTTTTGATTTCATTTGAACTCTCATTTTTTGATCGATCACTGATATGGATACTTGTTTATAAGAGTTGGACAATCATAAGGACAAGGTTTCCAGGCGCAGTAGGCTTGGCCGGCAGATGACGTACCGATGCTCATGACTGTGGCATAGCGATGGCGTACCATGATCCTACTGTTCGTTCTTGTTCATGTTGTTGTTCTCGTTGTTGTTGATACTCGGCATCATCAGCAGCATCATCACAGTGATGTTGGGTATGACGACGACGGTGGTGGCAATGGTGTTCACGTGCTTACATGTTTGATGATGTCGGTGGTGGTGGTGGTGGCGCTGCTGCTGCTGCTGCTGCTGCCGCGGCTGCTGCTGCTGCTGCTGCTGCTGCTGCTGCTGCTGCTGATTGCGATGGCGTGTTGCAACCTTGCCAAATGCCCTGATCTTGTGGCAGGAGGTGTCTGAAGGCTCCCTACAAGGAGATCCACTCCAGCCGCAGATTCAGCAGGCTTTTCAGGCGCGGATATAGCCATATCATCCGTAATCCAACATCTCAAATCAAGCGTCAGTTGCCGCCGTGAACTGATAGGCGCTGTAGGCAATACTGTATGGCTTTGCGGCTGGGTTCCAAGTATCGATCATTGAGGGGTTTCTGTTGCATGCGAAGAGGGCTGATTTTTGCAGCACAGGTTTCAGAGCTGGAGCTTCTCCTGAAAGCCCTGGTCATGCCCTGGAGGGAGGCTTCAGCTGAAGGGCTGCCTGTAGCTGTCGCTGCTTTTGTTTGGGCCTTCTGCGCCGAAGCCTTCCAGGGGCGTGCTTAGTTGAGACGTCATCTTCGACTGGCTGAAGGGGGGGCGAGGGTCAGAAACGAACGTGCATCATGGGAAGCCTATTGCTCAAGCAGTGGGATCTTTGCGTTCTGTCTGCTAAATGCAGTGCATCCATGGTGCAGTGCTCAGATGCACGGTTTGAGCAGTTGTGGCACGGCATTTGATTCAAACGTGGGCTGCTTCGCCGTGTTGGGCGAAGGGATCTGTGCGCAAGTGCTCCGGTTTAAGGCCTCTTTGCCGCCTCGTTGGTGGCACGTCTGGTTTCCAGCGCTCGCTGGGGGCCTATGCAGGGAATGACTGGATCAGTCGTTTGGTCTGTCGCAGTGTGTGCCCTGAAGCTTGCGAGGTATAGGTGTCTTCCAGACAACATGCAAAGCCGAAGATGTGCTCTACGCAGAAGGAGTGCCAGCAGGCCGCCACCCCAGCATCTGAGCAGAGATGTCTCTGCCATCTGTGGAGTCAAAATCGTTGTGTTGCGAGCTGGATATGAGCGCTGCAACTGGATTCTTCTGACTTGCGGTAAGTGAAATCATCGCCGGACAGGCTTCGACAATGAGAACAAAGATGTGCTTTCATCACATCGGTTGCTGGAATCTCTCGCCCCTGGGGTGGATCCAAGTGCAATCATGACTTGCATCCTGGCAGAAGAACGCAGAGGGCCCTTTCAGATTCATTTGCTCTTGACCCAGATGGGTGGTTGTCAAAATCATGGTCCCTTTTTGGGCCCTTATTATAATACGGCACCTATTATTTAGGGTACCCCAAAAGGGATAATTTTGACAAATACCCAGATGGATTGTCTCCAAACTGCCAGATTCAGGCTACAACTTGCACCGCAAGTCGGACAGGTGGAGGCTGTCATGGAAGCAGAAGCTCGCTGACAAATTGATCACTGCAGCCCGGATTCTGGCAGTATTCCTCTTTTCTGTTGTGTGACTGGGCCATCTCTTGAACCTTCTGCTTCTTGATTGAAGGCTGGCAGTGTAGAGTACGAAGCAACAGATTGCAAGCAGTGTCCATACCTTTGCAATGCTGATGCTGATGACTATCACGACCATACTTGGGGTAATGACTATGTCCGTGATCACGTTCATCATGGTGGCCAGGAAGACGATGGGGAGAAAGGGCAGGAGCAGGAGCGGATGACGATGAGGGCCATGAGCACGCGGATGAAGACCCGGAGGATGCTGATGAACCCAATGATGGTGACTGTTGTGGTTGTGGCCATCACGCCACAAGTTAAACGGCGATGATGGTGGAGGTGATGATGATGCTTATGAGGATGAGGATCGCGGTCATGATCATGATGCGGTGACTGCGGTGACGATTGTGAGTAGAATCCGACAAGAGCCTTATCATTGCGATCGAAGCTTAATGGCATGACATGTGTATGCAGTGAGTCCCCCCAAGTTTCCTCCATTAGAGCGTATGCATCTGTCGAGGACCATTCTCCGCGATCGTTTCAAGATAATTCATTGAGAGTTTCAGCCAAGGCAAGCCAGGGGACATTAGATTCGAGCCTCCGGCGCGGATTCTCGGCTGTGTGCTCCATTGAGCTTTCCCACAAACCCCTCATCAGTATGATTACTGTTCCTGACTGTCCTTATACTGAATGTGCATTTTTGTGTTGTTATTGTTAGTGTTCTTAATCGAAGCCAGAAGGAAGCCCGGGGGTCGGAGCCGGCAGCCGAGGTCTGGTCTGGCCTTTGGTGAAGGGCATCCTGAACTTTGGAGGAGGCCTTTCGAGTGAGATGCTCACCTGGGCTTTTGAGCACGAAGACGGGAAGAATCCATTTTGCCAGCCAGGGGCTTAGAGGATTTTCTGCCTGTCTCTGCCTGTCTCTGCCCGTGTGTCATCACGTGCGGATGCCCGGATGCGCTTCAGGATGCCCTCCGAAGACCGACAGAAACGATCCTTGGCACAAGATGTTTCTCGACAGTCCGACTGCTTGCAGTCGTTGATACAACGTTTGGCGGCAGCATCTTCGTGTATGCTGCTATGACGTGTGTGCAGAGCACGGCCGCAGCAGGAAACGATCTTTTGGAGCACTTCGCGCACCTGCTTGTCAGTGGCGCTGCGGAGAGCGAGAAGCAACCAGTGTCTGGACCCGCAAGACGGGGAGGAATAGAGACGGGTGTGACGGTTCTGGCTTGGTACTGATTTGGATCCTGTGGGCATGCTTGGAAACCGGAGTCTTGCAGTTGCCAGTCTCATGTCTTCGTTTGCTTGTTTGTGCGTGTGTGTGTGTGTGTGCATGTGTTGATGTGAGCTACAGCAATCGTCGAGGTAGCGAGAAGTCACATTGCAGGTATTGCATCTGCATGCTCGGTTTTGTCACGAACCCTCGGGCATTCTGTCTGCGAAAGCATCAGCTGCCCTGTGTTTGAAGCAAGACTAAAGACAGGTTGGTTCTTCAGAATTGCAGTCTTTGGCTTACTCTCTGTACCGACGGCTGCGTGGAGGGATCCATCCTAAACTGGGTCGCATTGTTGTTGTCGAAGCCCACGACTGAGGATGAGGGCTCGGCTCTCGTGCTTGAAGGCTTGAGCCAGCTCATCCAGAAGGTGCCGGAAACCCCGAAACCTGAAAGTCCTGCACAGCCGTGAAACTTCCAAGGATGCTTGGTTTGCGCAGATTTCTTGCAGGCGATCGTGGCAACAACAATGGCTGATTGCGGGATGTTCGAGAACGTGACGGACAGCAGCGGCTCAGTGGCGACCCATTTGTGTTCAGTTCATGCAGGCTTCGTGCCGTCGGGCCGCAGCCAGCAGACCGCAAGGATCTGCGGATGGTTAACGTAGCTGGAAGTGCAACTAGGCAATGGCTTGTGTCCACAACTCTCGGGCGACTATGTCGCGTCGTTGCAAGGACGCCTCGTGTGGGACACCAACTTTACGTGGCCGCCGGTGGTTTTGAACTCCTTCGAACTACTGGCTCAAGCTGCAGCGAACCCACGAGAACGATACTTCGTCCAGTCCTTGGTCGATCTGTTCCAGGCGAGGATTCCGATAAACCCCCAAGAACCCCATCTCCGACGTGTTTGTGAGCCATGACAGCATCTCCAAACTTTTAGATGCCACCAGATGGGGGCTGTTCTGAGCTCGGACACGGGGATCGTTTCTTTGGGTCAGTACTTCACTGGGGACATCCACTCAAAAGAGCCCAGTGTGGTCGCATTGGAGCCAGGACTATGTGAAGAAGACGGGCGTAGACCTTTCCAACCCCGAGATCCCGCCAGAAATGGAGAGGCTCAAAGCGAGGAAGACACTGGCTGGAGTTGTTTGGAAGCTGATATTTGCAGGGTTTCAGAAAACTAGGATACCTTGTCAAGGCAGGTAGGAAATGCATACAATATGCGTTTAGTGGTTAGTCACCGATTCTACTGCAGAGCTACGAGAAGGGAGGAAGATCCGATCTCTACTTTAAAGAAGGTATGTTTGCAGGATGACGTGCTGCAAGGCACGTTCGGTTGGTGTGGGCGACGGGGACAGGTTATACTATGCGTCAACACTCCGTAGGTAATATGCATCCTGCAAAACTCATGAGCCTGTTGCAGGCTGTGGTCCATGTTGCACAAGAACGGGGTGACTTCAGAGGAGGGCCGAGCCACTAGGAGGCAGTCCAAGCGTGTGCGTCCAGCAGTCCTGATTTTTGCGACGTGGGCGTGTGTGCTCCGGACCTTTTCATGCGCAAGCCATCGGAAGCCAATCTGAGGTGTTCGCTAGGGCCGAAGAGCAGGTCAGGAGCTTTTCGGAAGATGCCAAGAGGCTTGCGGCCCTTTTTGCACAAGAGCTCTTCTGCGTGCAGATGAAGTCCTGTCGGCCGAACTTAGGACACTGCACCCGTCCATTCGCTACCGAGAGCCGGCCGAACCCTCCAAAGCCGATTTCAAGAAGATAGGAGCCTCAATGTAGACAGCATAGGGTTACCTTGCTGCAATTTCAGTTTGATATACCCCTCCCGAAATCCTGTCAAGTTCCGGAGTTCAAGAGCCCTAGCACAGCCCGGGAGGCCAATGTCCTGCCAATGCCACCATGTGGCCGCAGCCATGGCCTCCGCGATGGGCAAACACCTGAAAGAGGCCTCGTGAGCTCCATTCGCTTTCCCATGAGACCAGGCTAGCAAGATCGAGTTCGGGCAGTCAGTAGTGTTGAGTGAGCGCTTGCATGACGCATGCGATCCTCATCCCTGGCGTATTGGGGTCTTCAGGGGGGCGCTGGAGGCATGCAAGCAATGCTGCATTGGCAGGTGGGCTTCGATCCATCCAGCAGCCTGGTCTTGACTCGCCGCGTCAACAAGTTGAGCTCGGTGAGTTTGTTTATCATCACCAAGGTGCCGAAGCTGACTGGGCTCCTCGGCTGGCCAGAGAAGCAAGGGACAATGACCAAGTTGCAGGAAGTGTGCCATACGAGAGTTTCCGACAGTAGGACAGTAGGCGACCCTAATGGAACCTTAAAAAGCGATCATGAATGCAACTCCTTTTCGGGAGGGAATTCTCATGTCGCAGATCCCTATGTGAGCTGGCACCGAACCCGTACGAAAAGGTACTGTAGGAGTTGCTCCCAAGCAGAGAGCAAGAGAGCAAAGAAGTCAGCAGTCCATGTCAGTTCATATGCTTGATGCAGTCACCCGAAGAAGTGCATGATTGTTCTTGAGAGCTTACCACATGATGTTGAGAGAATCCCAAAATCGAGGTGTGGAAGGCGACGGATGTCTCTGAAATGCTGGACCTCTTCACCCTCACAGAGGCGCATGGGTTGGAGCAAACGCAGCACAGCAACCACTCGGATGAGAATCGTCGCGCCCAATCAGCGGCCTATACACGGATCCTGGTGACCATAAGGGTCTTGCGAAAAGCACGCACTAAGCATCGGAGCCTTTGTCCTAACGAAACTACTCTGGTTCTGGTTCGTGTTTTTGGTGTTCTTATGGTGTTTCAAGTTGGAGTAACCAGACCAGGAGTTTAAAGTTTAACCATAAGCAAAAGCCGGTCAATGAGATCCCGAATCAGCAACGCGCAGATACCGATACTCACTGTCCCAATCGACAAGACACAAGAGCATGGAGCTCCGAAAGCATAAGGACCTTAGCCCGATGTTGACTGCGACAGGCTGGATTGGAGGATCCCAACCTGTCGTTCCTCTACCTGCTGGGCGAGGTGGGTGGACGGTGCACTTCCCTTGGTTGCACGTGTACAGAGAGTTTCATCCACCCGGATTCCAGAGCCAGAAAGATCTGACGTGTTACGATGTTAACCAGCGCAAACCACCGGGTCTCGGGCTTGCACTTAGCTGCAGTGGTTCCGGGTAAAGATCTGATGCATTTAAACGCTTTTCGACAGCTTCGCTTTGTTTTGCAATGTTGATCAGCCGCCCGCTCGACGCTGAAAACGTTTTGGGGCCTACAACTTCGATTCAGGGCAGCCAGAAAGATCTGATGTATTACAATGTTGAGCAGCGCAAGCCGCCCGCTTGACGCTGGA